TGCCTGTAATCCCAGCTACTTGGGAGGCTGAGGCAGGAGAATTGCTTGAACCCAGGAAGTGGAGGCTGCAGTCAGCCGAGATTGCGCCACTGCATTCCAGCCTGGTGCCTGGCGACAGAGCAAGACTCTGTTTCAAAAAAAAAAAAAAAATTAGCCGGGCATGGTGGCAGATGCCTGTAATCCCAGCTATTTGGGAGGCTGAGGAAGGAGAATTGCTTTAACCCAGGAGGTGGAGGTTGCAGTGAGCCGAGATCGCACCTTTGCACTCCCGTATGGAACACTGAGCGAGACTCCATCTCAAAAAACAAAACAAAAAACAACAACAACAAAAACAAAACCCCAAACCTGAAATACCTCCAGCTTTTTGGAAGGCACATTTAGATCCATGGCTGTGGAGAACCTAAAGCATGTTATGCTCCGTGTAGCCTATGCAGATACAGAGTCCAGCAGATTTGCTGGAGTTTGTCAACATAACTTCCAGGTTCCTTTTTAATAGCTAAGTCAGCCTTGCAAAGACTCTACTGGGGCGGTGTGAATGGAAAATTGAAGGGAAATCACTAGATTTTTTTAGGCCATACTGCATTTTAAAAACTTGAATTTTCTGAGTCGTCATCTCCATCCTGTCACCTGCATGTGTGCTCAAGGACGCAGAACCCCTGGCCACGTCGACGTCCTAAATTGTTCATCTTGGTTAGTAGCAAAAATCTGATCTCAAAGCTGTTGGGTTTCGCTTGGATTTGAAGAGACTGTTTGTTCACAGCTCCTGTTCTAAAGCTGTTTGTGATTTTTATCTAAAGTCAGATTGCCACGGTTTCAGCACTTTCCAGTTTACTTAGCAAAATTCAGCCCTCGTGAAATTGGTTGCCAATGAAGTAGCTAACTCCAATTTTAGTCATAATCTGATTAGTCCTTTTCATATTATCGTAATGAGCAGTGAATACTCAGCATTTTAAAAATTTTGGCTCAGAATGAAAACCAAGCACTTTCCACTTCATCATTCTGTACATTTCCAAAAAGAGATGATGGCTTTTGAGGTATATTGCCACACGCCACCCTTATTAACAGACTGTTGCTTGCAACAATTTACATAAACCAAGTGTGCATCCTCTGGTATATATCCCTAACACCCAACAACTTCAGTGAATTTGCTCCAACCAACAAGCATGTTGAATTTTTTTTCTTTTCGGTATTTTCAGGGTGAAATATGTGACTGCGCTAGCAAACACACCCATGCCATCTGTTGGGTTCAGAGGAAGGCAGTTTCTAAGAACAATTAAGTTTAGTTCTGGCTGTTCGGTTCGAGAGTCACAGTCCACCCAGTTGTGGAAAGAAAGAGATTGTTGATTTCATTCTCTCACTTTTCCCCTCCCTCTCTGCAACACACACTGTACTTCTTGCTAACGGCGCTCTCTTAGCTCTCTCTCATCTCCACCTCGTCCTTCACGCTTCACACTTTCCTTCTTTTTCTCTCTCTCTCTTTGGCTCCTGGTTGGCTGTGACCATCCCTCCAATATCCATCTTAGGTGGATTGGCAAGAGGCTACCTGGCTGACCCTGGGTCTCGGAAAGGCTCTCAGGGTGATCTGCTGCGATTATTGGGAGGTAAGTGCTTCCTGGAGAAAGGAGAAAAGGGAAATTAAGGTAAAAGAGGCCACCCCAAAAGGAGCTTTTATGGGGACTTTTACATCCTGGGAGCAATATAGGTTGTTTAAAATGAGGTTTGCGAGGGACTGCATTCTAAGTGTGTTAACGCTACAGGGCAGCCTTGGTGAGCCCTTCTCACTGTGGAATTAACTTGTCCCCCAAGATATGACAAGCTGGAAACAGCTGAATAATGGAATTAAGGCCGTTATCAACAGTTACATTAGACCTTCGAACAGACTAAATACCATAGTGTGTTCTGGGTCTTGTTTGATTCCAAAGGTGGATTCTGCCCGGGTTGCAGAGGAAAGTGGCACAGATCAGAATCTTTGCAGGCCCCTGTTCTAAAAAATGGTGTTCCCAAAGTTGCCGCATTCAATCGATATTTCGTGCCATGCTGCTCAGTGCAGTGGACCAGTGGCTAATAAACTTGTCCTTATCCATAAGCCACCGTATTATGTGACTCTGTCTGGGCCAGGAACCAAGGCATGCTATGATTTCAGAGACTGGATTCCTATCACCTGGGGAAGAGACATGCTCTGGTGACGTAAGAAAGCAGAGAAATCAACCATCACCGAGACCTGCAGACTCTGAAATTAAAGGAGAAAATATGCGTGCAGTTGGTTCGATTGGCACCCATTAAAGCTAATAACTAATCATCCTCGCAAGTTTCTAGCTCAGAATGATCAAATCTGCAAAGAAAACAACATCCGTCCACTTTTACACTCCAGTGGAAGAGGTGGTCCCTCGCGGCAGGGCGGCACAGTCTCGCCATCTGGAGAATAAATCGAGTGTGAAGTACAGTATAGTTTGGGACCAAGCTCCGTGGCGGCAGCTCAGCAGTCAGTTCATTAGTTCCAAACTTCCAGGGATTAGAGCGGCATCAATTCTACTGTCGGATAGGATGAGACAGACAGGATACGAGATTCAAGGGGGATTGTGACAACCAAGAGGAGCCCCTTGGGCTTATTTATAAAACTACAAAGTATAAACATACCCAAATAAGTGCCTTAAATAATAGCATTATCACAGTTTCATAACATCTGAATTATCACCTTTCCCTTCGCCTCCCAGCCCCCGACTCAAACCTTGAATGTTAATGTATAGTTGTTTTCAGAGGAAATGGCCAAGACAGCCCTGGGTGCAACAGGAACAAGGAGAAACCTATGTGCGACCCAAGATTTGGTAATTAAGAAATACGAAAGACTTTCTAGACTCCAGGGAGAATCCACATTTGTGATTAAAGAAAAGCACAATTAATATTTTCATCCTGCAAAGGGCAATTGCCATGCCACGTATTCAAAAACATCAGTAAATTCGATCTCTTCTGAATTTGTCCAACTCATCTGATTTCCATTGATCTAATGTGTTTGGATCATTATCAATGATGTTATGGCACGGGCATGAAGTGGTCCAAATTTTGAGCAGAAGGCCCCAGGAGCATCTCTATGAAAATCATTTTGAAAATGTGGAAAAGTTTGATTTAACATAAAAAACAAAATGAATTTATTCTATTTAAGGATCACCTTTTTCATATAACTTTTTATCAATTTGTATTTAAAAACAGCATTGCTTATGGCATAGAACATCATCACTAGTCAATTATATTGTATTTTTCTCATAAATGTGTACAAATTTCCTGAAATAATGATCACAAAGACTGTTGTAGTGACTGCATTGAAAAAAAGGGCAAATGAATTCCCACTGATTATTACAACCTGGTAGTGTGTTTCATTAAGCAAGGTGAGTGTTGAGTTTTCTACCCCATTATTTTTTCCACATGAAAAAGAAACCTTGGTTTGCCTGTTTCTGAAGGAAAGAAGACCTGTTACAATACTGAGCATACTGTATGTTAACTGGCTTAAAATTGTATGTAGATTCATCTTACAAAGCATTACATGCCAGGCACCCTGTTTACTCTGAAAATGTAGATTTTGGCAGAGCAAAGTTTTTGATATGTTAATCATGAGCCATACATTAAAACACAGGTTTACAGTGAAATGCTAAATTGGCTTTCATTCAGAAGCATAAGAAGGCTCAGGATGTGTAGAGATGGGTAGCGTATAATATGTAATTGGTATTTCTGCCCTTCAGAGATATAATTGAAAAAGAGAAAAACTTTCCAAAAAACTCCAACACTAAAATACAATAAATCTATGAAAAGAATTTGTTTTGAAGGTCTCCAACCAATTAAAAATATTTTTAAAAGATGTTAGAACAGTGGCTTTAACTTCAGTCATGCAAACCGATACATTTGTCAGAATTCATAGAACATACACTTTAAATTTGTACATTTCACTGTATATACATTTCATCTCAAAAGCAAGAAGAGAACTGTAAACAAATATTGAACTCTAGTCAACCATATGCATGCTGGAGTATTTAAGGGGACATGTACTGCTGTCTACAATTTACTTTGAAATGGATATATTAATACAAAGCAAATTGATGGATGGAGAGGGACAAACGGATGGTCAGATACAGATTAAGGCAGGCAGAGTAAACATTAATGGGAGAACACCGGAGGTAGGTATTTGGGTTTCTACTTTATAATCTTCTAATTTTTCTGATGCTTGAAATTTTTA